GACTTTCACATATCTTGAAATAGCCAATCAAATTAGCATGAATAGTCTATGATAAATTTATAACATTTCTTATATCTTTCATTATTTTAAAAACTAAATATAAACCAATATTTCAAGTGAAAGGAATGTGTTTTGTGACTAGATAAAATAAAAAATCCTTCTGGCTGACTTATTTTACTCTACTATAATCCTATACATTCCAAATAAATTTAACATTAATGCTTGAGTAACAGCTAATTCTAAAATAGTATCAAATTTCGGTATAAATTTAGTTTGCCCATTTTTTATCTGTTTAGTATTTGGTTTCGATTTTTTTTATCTATTATACACTTAATCACTGTCGTCGTAAATAAATTTACATTTTACACCAAACATAGGCCGATTAAAAATTTATCATAAAATAGTAGTATGTTACTAATATTATTCTATTTAATCAGTGTCATAATATCAGCATTCCATATTTTGTGTGCTTGTTTAAAAATTTGTTAAAATATTAGTATTGCTTTCAAAAATGTTCCTACTGCTTCTAGTAGTTTGTCTAGATTAATAGGAGTATTAATTTGTTTTTACAGTGTGGCTTATTACGGAGGAAAACTGAAGATAGTACACATATTAATTAAAATTACATTCACACATATTTAATTCACATTAAATCACATTAGAATATTCAGAATTTATGGAAATAAGAATATGAAATTTCCTATTAACATATTAACAAAAATATTACCGGATGTAAAATGTAAAATAATAAAAAAAAAGCTCTATATTTGATGCTTTAGATTCCAAATTGGACGCCGTTTTCAAGATACTTTAAATCAATTGAACAAACTATCTTATCCAGGGCCGCATTTAGCTCAATTGACATCCTAGGGCCTAGGCAATTTTTAGTAGCAGCCCTTTAAACATGTATCATTAACATATAACAAAATCATAAACCATATAACAAAAAAAAATGGTACTACAGTTTGATCTCATCAGAGATTTCTTCCTTGATTTTTCTTTAGCAAAAGCATCTATAATGTCATAATTCGCCTTTGTTACGTTACTTTCGATGGACAAAATCGACAAATTGTTAAGACGTTCCTGCTTCAAAATTTATTGGAAATTATTTTTAATTCTTGACATTTTCGAAAATGACATTTCAGCGGACACGTTGGTAACTGGGATGCATAAAAAATGCGCAAAGGAATTCCCAACATTAGGGAAAATATCTTTCAATCCACTCTTCTTTAAATATTTAGATATGTCAATTGATGATTTTATTGTGATGTTCAAATGACCCTTTAACTGAATGCACTGATGTATGAATGATGTATCTAGGACGTCTTTATAAATTTGTATCAGATTTTCAGCTTTTTTAATAATTTATTCATTGTTTAATTTTGGCAGATCTGTTATAACACGCAGTTTATAAGATTCTAGACGTCTATTCAGGTCTTTTATCAGAGTGTCGATTATAATATACAATGTGTGGATTTTCATCTTATCATTAGCTGAAAGGTTTAGTTCATCAACGGCCCCCTCGTAAAATTGATTTTTTCTCTTTCTTATTTCTTTATATGTTTTATTTGAGCACAATTGTTTGGCTTTCTCTTCATAAATGGCAAAATTATTTCTGATTGAGAAAAAGTAATTTGAAAGAGCTTTATTCTCTTTAACGACAGAACCCAGATCCATTGCAGGACTCTGGACATACTTATTGGATAAGTTCACTCTTTCTAAAATATGTTATAGCCATTCATAATATATGTTATATAAATAGTACAGCCAGAATATTCTTTTTCTTCTACTTTCTCTTACATCTTGCTTTATAGTATGGCTTGAACAAGGCTGTATCATTGTTCATTGTATCACCACATCTTGAATGTTTTAAAGTTTTTTATTGCTTTAGTTCTATACAAACGATCAAGGAAGACTTTTTATCTCATACTGTTCAGTCTTTCTCCACTTAAATGTTCCTTCATCAATATTTCCCAAGTTCATTATTAGCTCTAAATATGTCTTCAGTTTTTTGAAGCGATGCTTCTATACTGCCGTTTTAAGACTTTTTTCTCTTCAGTAAAATACTGAAATAATCGTCACGGAACTAGCGCCACAAGATGGCGTCGTCACGGGTAGCGTCATATAATAACGGTTTTTGACATCGATCACTACTCTCGATCAAAAGCAGGTTTAAATTAAAAACTGCATAAAAATTACTAACAAAATATAGACTTTAAATGAGAAGTAAAACATTAAAAGAATATCTGATACTAAAATATTCAATTCGTAACAATTGTCACAGTTTAATAAAAGTCAAAAATGTCATTGATACACATTGATAAATAACAGCATTGAAACATCTGTTTTTAAATTTTTATAATAATTGGTTTTAAAATAATTTCATATAAATACAATAATTATTATTTTTAACTATATTATTTAGTTTATATAACAATTAAATTTTCTATCAAATGATATTTATTTATACTTTATTATTATTATTTGGTCTGAATTTGACAGATTTATCATAAGTGAACAACATATGATTTGTTAATTTAACAGGTGGTGTTAGGAGCAAACATAACAATTTGTTGAATTTGTTTAAAATATAAAAAATAAATAAATAATAAAATTACTTTATTTAATTTTAAATATATTATTTAAATAAAAAAAAAGAAAACAAAGTATGAAGCTCCGCGCTAGTCTACAGTACTGCCTACTGTTCCTCTTTTTTCGTTCCTGCTTTAGTTCTCTGCAAAAGAACAAGGAAGAATTTTTGTCTTATACTGTTCAGTCTTTCTTCATTCAATTATTTCTTCATCAATATCTCTCAAGGCTAGGTTCATGATTAGCTCTAAATATATCTTCAGTTTTTTCCTTGATGCTTTAGTTCTATATCACAAAACAAGGAAATTTACTTGAAGGTCATATAATAGAACAAGTGATGAAGTTTAAATAGTTAGGCATCAGATTATCTAGCTCCGGAAAGCTCGAAACTCAAGTGGAAGATCACGTGAATAGAACAAACAGAGCTGCAGCCTGCCTGAATAAAACAATATGGAGAAATAAAAATATCGGGAAATAAACGAGAGGCAGAATTTACAAAACAGTCATCAGACCAATAATGACATACGCGGCAGAAACAAGACTCTCACACAGAGAGGACAAAAAGGATATTAGAAACAGCAGAGATGAAAACACTTAGAGAAATTGATGGTAAGACACGATGGCACAGAGCTGGAACTACAGATATACGACGTACGACGTATATGCAAGGGGAGAAGATCAATAACTGGGTAAGAAATAGAAGTGTAGAAAGAAGCGATTATATAAGCCGAATGACAACAAATAGAGTAGTAAAGACGGCAAGGGACGGTTCCCCAATAGGAAGGCGATCAGTAGAAAGACCACGAAAACGATGGAATGACAGCTTACTGGGGGCACATTGAAGAACAGAAGAGTCTTGTCTATATAAAAAGAAGAAGAAAATGACTTTTTATCTTATTCTGTTCAGTCTTCGTCCACTTAAGAGTCCTTCATCAATATCTCTCAATTCTGGATTCATGATTACCTCTGAATATACCTTGAATACCAATTAGGATAGTATACACCCTGTACGCCTTTTTTAACTTTTGTTGAGTAATCCTTAATAATACCCTAAAATACCCTAAATATTTTCCCTAAAATTCATTTGCTTTATTATCCAATATAATTTACTTGTTCCCTTTCTTTTGTAATGAAATATTTACAATAATCATTCTCTATTTAGACTTAATTGCCAGATATTGTTTTATATTTTACTGTCATCTGTTGTTTGTATCAATCTTAATTTATTTTCTAATCAAACTTTTTAAGTTATGTATACTTTTGAATAACTCTTCTACAATCTAGTAGAAGCATTGTAAATTTATTTAATAACATGCTAAAAACAATATATATATATATATATATATATATATATATATATATATATATATATATATTGTAAAATTATTAAGAAGAGCAAATTTTACCAAATAAAAATTTTGTTGTTAATAATGCATCACCCTGTATATATGAAAATAAAAAAATGATACATTTGTCTAAGTTTTGTGCAACATCCTGTACATGTTCCCGTGGCGAACGAACATTAACCAAAAACTAATAACTTATCTCAAAAATCAGGCTTAACATTAATACTCTTTTCTACGCATATGCATTAGATACCTCCTGAGAACAAGAAGAGAAAAAAATAGGCACCTACAATAGATTTACGACTCAAACCAGGCCCATCTGACACTCTCATAAATATTGTTTATGTTTAGGTTGAATGTCTGAGGTACAGGTGATGTGGCAACGCCGACAGGTTACTATTGGATCCTATTACTCCTCCCCAGGTAAACCCGAGAGACCGAGAATCAGTTTCTTAAGTTCTTCAGTCTTCAGTCGAGTCTTTGCGCGCAGCGTGTGCACTACCGTGACCGTTCACCAACATTCCGATGAAAGTGTGCACATGTGAGGTCACAAACCGCGACCGTGATAACCAAAACATCTCTGCACCGGTTCCTACAGTGACAAAACAGTGCCCCTTCTTGCCACCGGTGCGAATCTAAACTGAACGCAATTCTTCAAAGGATAATTAACCTGTGCGTGACATCTCTTGACCCTAAACAAGTGTTTAACCTTTGGATTGCCCTTGTGGATGAATTAAAGTGTAACTGTTTTGCAATCTGCAACCCCGTGTGTGTCAGTGCTCGCTCAAAGTGAGAAAAATTAGTTTGTTTTCATAGAAGTTTTTAAAAGAGCCCGTCTGTAAACGGCCATATTGCATACCACACGGACAGAGACGGCGTACTCCTGTTATGCGAGAGAGAGTGAGCCAAGTGCGTTCTCCAGAGGCTGAACGACTTGCTACGCGGGGAGTGGAACTGAGGAATGCTAGAGTTCTTCATCTAACACACGTGTATTAACGAAATGTTATAATTCATCTATGAATTTATGTTAACTGTCGAATGATGCGTCGGTAGTAAAACTAAAAAATGTGGGGAATGTTGTGTTGGTTGTTGATTTTCGGTGCAATTTCGCTCGTCGCAGCGCGTACTCCTGGTCCGGGACCAGGAAGGACTTCCTCCAATGAACCTTTTTTCGGTTATTCGACGCAAATGCAATCGCGAGCAGTGGATACACGAGTTACTTTGGAAATTTTAGAAGAACAACCTAAAGGTACAGTGGTCGGTAAAATTCCAACAAAACCAGGATTTACATATCGCTTTAATGAACCACCGAAAGAATTTATTTTGGACCCAAAAACAGGTGAAATAAAAACAAATGTTATTTTAGACAGGGAAAGTATGAAAAATGACAGAACCGATTTGGTAATACTATCTAGTCAGCCAACCTATCCTATCGAAGTTAGAATTGTTGTTGTCGATATAAATGACAATTCTCCTGAATTTCCTGAACCTAGTATAGCGGTTTCATTTTCGGAGAGTGCAGCAGCTGGAACTCGTCTTCTCTTAGATTCTGCTACAGATCAAGATTCCGGAATTAACGGTATTAGCGATAATTATGCCATAATTGCTGGAAATAAAGATGAAAAGTTCAGGTTAGTTGTTACACCTAATCCTACAGGAGAAACATCATATTTACATCTTGAAACGACAGGTAAATTAGATAGAGAAACTCAGGGAAACTATGTATTAAATATATCAGCTAAAGACAGTGGAAAACCTTCTAAATACGGGTATTTGCAAGTTAATGTTACGATATTAGATGTAAATGATAATCCTCCAATATTTGACCACAGCGATTACATTGTTTCCTTGAATGAAAGTGTTCCACCGGGTACTTCTGTATTACAAGTGATGGCAACTGATAATGATTTAGGGGATAACGCAAAAATAACTTATTATCTTGCCGATACCGAACATCAATTCACTGTAGATCCGGAAACAGGAGTAATTTCGACGACAGAACTATTAGAATGTTCACAACAAAATTGTATTCATCCGTCAAAACCAGGTGGAAATTGTCCGAAAAGTTGTGTGTTTACGGTTTTCGCTAGAGATCACGGGACACCTAGACAAGATGGTAGGACTTATGTAACCGTTAATTTAGTGGATGCTAATGATCATGATCCAGTGATTAAATTTATATATTTTCCGTCAACAGCTGGTTTCGCGACAGTTGATGAAAATGCGGGTAATGGTTCAGTGGTAGCAGCAGTGTCAGTGGTTGATCAAGACGAAGGATTAAATGGTGAAACTACAGTCAGGATTGTATCAGGTAACGAACTTAATCATTTTAGATTAGATTACACCCCTAGTTTCGATATTGTTAGAGTTAACGGTGTTCTTGACCGCGAAGAAATATCAAAGTATAACTTGACGGTCGTGGCAACAGATAAAGGCACTCCTCCACGCACAGCAACAGCATTTTTAATAATCCATGTAAACGATGTAAACGATCATGAACCTGTATTCGAGAAAAGTGAATATTCTGCCATTCTCAGCGAGTTGGCGCCCCGGGCACTTACGTTGCAGGAATCACAGCCACGGACGAAGATACCGGAGTCAACGCTCAAATATATTACGCTTTTGTATCTGGTAATGAAAATCAGTGGTTTTCTATTAACGCTGACTCGGGGCTCATAACAACACGTGCATCTCTAGACAGGGAAGTTCAAGGTACGGTAGAATTAAACATATCAGCGAGAGATGGAGGCCCTAATCCGAAGTGGGCACACACGCAATTGAAAGTAACAATTTTGGACGAAAACGATGAAGCTCCTGAATTTTCACAATCTCGTATAAACGTTAGTTTATCTGAAAGTGCCCCGCCCGGTACACTGGTTGCCATGTTAACTGCTTCAGATCACGATCAAGGGACAAACGGCAGCGTAGCGTATACTTTGCATCCAGCCGTTCGTCAGCGATATGAAGACACTTTCGCTCTTGATTCTCTTACCGGCCAACTCGTCACGAAAAAGAAACTCGACCGAGAAAAAATAGCGATTTACGAAATCAACGTTATAGCCAGAGACCAGGGTATACCCTCACAATCATCGACTGCTGCTGTTTATTTAACCGTTTTAGATGTAAATGATAATAACCCTGAATTTTATCCGCAAAAGTATTTTGTATCTGTATCTGAAGACACGAAAATAGGTACTTCTTTATTAAAAGTAACAGCTACCGATAAAGATGAAGGTGAAAATGCTATGATAACTTTTAAATTAGAAAACGGCGGAGATGCTTTATTTTCTGTAGACGAATGGACGGGTGTTATTTCATTACAAGGAAATTTAAAAAATGCTCAAAAACCTATGTACCGTTTGAAAATTTCAGCTATCGATCAGGGTGATAAAAAAGCTATTGAAGATGCTACTGTTGAAATTATTAAAGAGGCTTATATGGAAGAATTACATTTTGATAATTATGCGGGGTATGATTTTCAAATTGTTGAAGATCCAAATGATTTACAAATTTTTAGAAAAAGAGATGTTGGATCTGTACATGTAAGAAACACTGATGCTTTTTATTCGATATTTTATGGCGATCCAAATCATAATTTTGAAATTAACGAAAACAACGGCAAAATTAGCACAGCGAAGAAAATAGATCGTGAGCAACAGATGTCTTATAGTTTATCAATCGTAGCTCGTGTTGGATTATCTTATGGAAAAACTACTGTGAATATTATTGTGCAAGATTTAAACGACAATAAACCAGTATTTTTACGTGATAAAGAAGAAATTAAACTTCCTGAAAACGCCGCCGTCGGTCAAGAAGTTTATTTAGCTCGAGCTAGAGATTTTGATGCTGGTATTAACAGTAGAGTAACGTACAGCCTCAGCTACAACCCACATGATCAGTTTCGAATATCAGAAGCAACGGGAGTCATTTATTTGAAAAGACCTGTACGTGCTGACCCGGGCACCGTACTCAACGTGGAAGTGACCGCTACAGATGGAGGCGAACAGCCACTATCATCTAAACATTCTGTAATGATCATTATCGAAGATGTGAACGACCACACCCCCGTTTTCGATCATACTTCGTATGAAACATCATTGTTAGAATCGACACCGGTCAACGAGAGGTTCTTTGCATTAGCGGCCAGTGATGCCGATTTGGGGGTCAACGGGAGAATATTTTACTCGATTTCAGAAGGTAACAATGAAGGTAAATTTGGTGTGTTTCCTGATGGATATTTGTACGTTAAAAAGGCCTTGGATCGAGAAGATAAAGATTATTATTCTCTAACTGTGACTGCGAGCGATGCAGGAAACCCATCAAGATCCTCGATTGTGCCTGTAGTAATTCACGTTATAGACGAAAATGATAACAGTCCTGAATTTACAAATAACACGTTTACCTTCAATATAAGAGAAAATGAGCCTCCCGATTCGTTTGTTGGAAAATTAGCGGCGACAGATAAAGATATCGGAAGAAATGCTGAACTTATTTTTTCTTTATCGAATTCACAAAATGATTTTGCTATCGATCCTAAAAATGGTTTCATAAGAACTTTACACGTATTCGATAGAGAAGAACTAGTTTTAAATACAGGACAAAATGTAATAACATTGGAGGCTGCTGTGGCTGATAACGGTGTTGTTAGACTTCGAGATAAAGTAAAAGTTCATGTGCATGTAATAGATGTCAATGATAATCCTCCAAAATTTTTAAGAACCCCGTATAGAGTGCAGATATCCGAAGGTTCCATGATTGGTGCTCAAGTAATGAGGTTATATACAACTGATGCCGATGAAGGGTTAAATGGAGATGTGTTTTACAAAATTGTGGGTGGTAATGACGATGGACGGTTCGAGATTGATGATGCTACGGGACAAATAACTTTACTTCGTTCCTTAGATAGAGAATCAACTTCAAAATACATATTAACAGTGGTGGCTCATGATGCTGGACTTACAAAACAATTAACTTCGTCGACAACTGTCTCTATCGATATTTTAGACGAAAATGATAACGCTCCGGAATTTACCCAGAGTGAATCAAGAATATCTGTTAGCGAAACGACCCCAGTCAATACTGAACTCATCCAATTTAAAGCTACTGATGCAGATCTGGGCGTAAATAGCGAAATTGTGTATTCGATAAGTGCAGGAAACAGAAAAGACACCTTTCACATTGACTCGATGACAGGAATGCTTCATTTACATAAACCGTTAGACTTCGAAGAGTTGGCTGCCTATCAGCTTAACATTACAGCATCTGATAATGGCAACCCGAGATTATCTACCACTATTTTGTTCGCCATTGCCGTCGAAGATGCTAACGATAACCCACCATCTTTTCCGAGCACAGCTATAGTTCGTCAGATTCGTGAAGGAATTCCAATTCACACCCCCATAGTTACTGTTACCGCCGACGACCCAGACTCTGGACTTAACGGAAAAGTTTCATACGCAATTTCTTATCAAGATCCTGACGATAACAAAAGACATTTTGGTATTAATCCGATTACGGGGGTGATTCACACGTTACTACCGATTGATCGTGAAACAATAGACACTTTTCGTCTAACTGTCGTGGCCACTGATCAAGCTGTTCCAGTTTCAACGCGACTTTCCGCCGATAAATTAGTTACTGTCATTGTTGAAGATGTTAACGATAACGCACCAATATTTGTTTCGATGAATGCAGCGATTTTACCGAAAGTTGACCGAAACTTCCGAGGAGAAGTCACAATTACCAACGTTTTTGCGCGCGATTTAGATTCTGCGACGAACGGTTTAGTGACTTATGAACTAGCAAGTGGCAATAGTGATTTGTTCAAACTAGATCAAAGCACAGGGACGCTAAAACTTCGACGTCCAATTTACGATCCCGATCCAACTTATCGTTTATCTGTCAAAGCAACTGATGAAGCGGTGCAAAGCGAAAGAAAATCGACGGAAGCATATTTGACAATCATAGCGACAAACGACGCGGAAAATGGACCTAAATTCGAGAGTGGTTTATTTACTGGGAGTGTCTACGAAAACGAACCGACGGGCACAAGTATTTTAACCGTGTCGGCTAAACATCATACCGGTGAAGTTGAGTATTACGTGACAAATGTGACAGGTGGTGGTGTGCAAGTGGACAGGCTCTTTGATATCGACACCAAATTGGGAGTGTTGTCAACTGCTACTGAATTGGATAGAGAGTTGGGAGTCGACACCTACGAAATTCAGGTGTACGCCATCATCAATGGTGCCGATCGACTCAGAACTTCTAAAACAAAGGTGAGTTTTTTATTTAATATTTATGTAAGAAGGTTTAATGACGGTATATAGACTGTTACTTATAATGTATGATACAGATTTCGAAGCAGACTTTAGATTTTTTACTTGCGATTTGTTAATAACAGTTTGATAAATTATTTTGAAAACGTAAAACGGATTTTAGGAATAAAACAGATAAATCTTTATTATCTCTGTATGTCCTATATATTCTATATGTTTAAGTACATGTATAAGAATTAGCTTTTTATTTTGACCAAATTAAATCTCTCTTTTTTAGAAAAAAATGTTCTGTTCCTGTAAAATTTATAAACACTTAAGAACTTTTATAGACAATGAAACGTATCTTGAAAAGAAAATAACTGATCGAATGTTAGGAAGTCTCATTAGATTTGTAATTAAAAGAGCTATAATGCTTTTTTTATATATAAAAAAGAATTTTTACAGAAGTTAAATATAGCGAAAAATTCACAATTTTTGAACTTTCAATCGTTTATTTTGCATCAACTGTTAAGTCGAATTTAATGTAACACAACTCAAATTCTCCTTCTTTAAGTGCCGTCTCCCAATAGAAGGTTGGATATCATCATCACTATCTTTACTTTATCTACTACTGCTCTAAAGAATTCTATAGAATTGCATTTAAACCACTTTCTTAAATTCTCTAACCATGACACTACTCTTCTTCCTATACTCCTTCCTCCTCTTATCTTTCCCTGTATTATCATTGTGTTATTGTATCATTGCATGTATTCCCGGTTTTCTTGTTCTATTGTTGTGAGTTAATTTTTTAATTTTTTTATGTGTGTTAAAACTATTGTGTCTTTTCTGGTATTCTTCTATTTCTGCGCATTGTTCTTTTAGCCATTGTTCTTTCGCTTTCTTAATTCCCCATTTTATTTGTATATCCACGTTTTTGTACATCTGATTATCTTTGTTTTTATATTGACGTCTTTCTTCCATTAAATTTAAAATTTTCTTCCGTCATCCATTGCTTCTTTTTATATCTGGTTTGTATTAGAATTTTTTTGACTTTTATCTATTTCTGTCTTATTAATAACCATTTTTTCTCCGTCTCAGTATTTTGGAGAATTTGTTCTTTCATTACTCATTCATTCAACATTCATTAATCCTTTGTTGATTTCATCTGCCAGGCGTTGCCTTATGTGTGGGTTCCTTAATTTACTTGTATCGATTTTTGCATTTGTTGTTCTTCGCTTTATTATTTTCATTTTGAGCCTAATTTTGGTCACTACTGGTTGTGATCTGATCCTATGTCGGCATCAAGATAGGTTTTTGCGGATATAATTGCGTTCCTGTATCTTTGTCTAACTAATATATAGTCTATTTGGTTTCTTACAATTCTCTCTTCTTGATCTTCTGGTGACTTCCAGGTATATAGTCTTTTCTTTGGCATCTTGAACAATTTATTAGCTATAACAAAATTATTGTTTTGGCAAAATTCGATAAGCATATTTCTTTCTGATGCCCAGACCATATCCTCCTGTACATTCTTCTACTTTTTCTTCCATAATCTTTGCGTTAAAGTCCCCCATTATAATTGTTAAATTGTGCGTTTTAATGGATTCTAAAATGTTGTCTAGGTCTTCGTAGAAAGTGTTAATATCGCTCTCTAGACTCTGGTTTGTCTGCAGTTGGAGCATAAACGTGTAGGATGTTTATTTTGGGTTTGCTCAAATTAAAGCTTTTTTTATTTACTTTAATTCATAATTGTGCTTATTTGTGCTAAGATATTTATTTAATACAATACAAATAAAAATAATCAAGAAACATCGTTTTTTTGCAACTCCAGTTTGGAGTTGAAAATACTTGGAGATTACTACGGGCATTGCTCTTTATACTGCTGGGATGGTTTCAAAAATTCACTAGTTAATGCTCAAAATATTTTTTTCTTTTGTATTTTTTGAGTTGCAAATCAATGAAGAACAATTTACTATTTTTGTTGGTAATAAGCCAAAATATTACTTTAAAATTAAGTTTAAGTATTTGACATTTGATGAAGTTTAAATCGATATAGTCGCTTTTTTTGGAACTAAATTTAGTTATAAAATTGGAAGTTAAAATCTTTCGGAGAGAGTTTACGGGAGTTTCAGCTACTTCTGTAAATAAACAATCTATTGGTGTAGTTTTTAAAGCCACTAAATATAGTCTTAGACACTTATTTACTACGTGATCTTTTTTTCTACTTGACTTCTTAAAGCTTGCTTGTAGAAAAACCATAATCCAGTATTGACCTCATGTAGGATTTATACAGAAGAATTGGTGCACTTCGATTTGATCTCCATTTTGTTCAACATAGTCACCGTAAGATGTTAATTCCGTTTTCTGTTTTTTTGATTAGACAATCTATGTGATTTTTCCATGTAATTTTTTTATCCAGATACATTTCTAGGTATCTTACGGATAAACGTAAGCTATACTTTGTTGTAACCAATGTTATTTCGGTACGAATGTTTTTTTTTTTTCGGGAAAATGCTTTTTTTCCTGAAAATTTTTATGAAATTTTCATTAAACCATTTGTTGGGGTTCTTGTAAGGTATATTCAATTTTTTGCACCCTTGAATAGAAAGGGGGTATTGTAATACATTGTAATCATTTGAAAGGTCTTTTAAATACCTATTCAGCTATATCAATATGTCTAAGTAATTAAAGGTTGTATTTGTTTAAAAAATAATTAAATTTTTATTATTACAATAAATATTTATTAAGTATTATTCAATAAATACAACGAAACCTAAATTAAGTGCTCGAATTGTTTACCTTCAGCTAAAATATAATGAGAAAGGCGTGCCGCGAATTCTTCTCTAACATTCTCTAAAACTTCCGGAGTTATTTGAATAACCTCATTACGTATTCTTTCTTTCAGTTCATTAATATTTTGTGGTCTATTTTGATACACCTTACTTTTTAAATATCCCCATAAAAAAAATCAAGAGGAGTCAAGTCAGGTGACCTAGGCGGCCATTCTATTGTTCCTCTTCGACCTATCCACCGATTTGGAAAGACGTTGTTTAAGTAGTTGCGTACTAAGACAGCATAGTGTGGAGGCGCACCATCTTGCTGTAGCCATAAATCATTTTTGTTTGGAAACAACCGGTTCAATTCTGGAAGCAAGAAATTGTGTTTTCTTCGAAAAAGTGTGGTCCAATACACCTATTATCTATTATTTCCACCCAAACACTAATTTTCTGTGGGTATTGAGTACGGTATTCTTGCATCCAGTGTGGATTTTCCGTAGCCCAGTACCGATAAGTTTGACGATTGACATGGCCGTTTAGTAGAAATGTAACTTCATCTGAGAAAATAATCTTTTTTAAAAACATCGGATCTCTGTTATTTCATTCCATTATAATGTCACAAAATTCAATTCGTCTATTAAATTCATCTTCCATAAGTTCTTGTACTAAACTTACTTTGTAGGGATGCCACTTTTCCTTCTTTAGCTGTTTAAAAACTGTTGAATGGTCCATGTCATTATCTAATGTTTCTTGCCGTGAACTGTTATGAGGCTTATCTTGAAAAGCTAACAGAACTTCTACTTGTTGGTTTTCAGATATTGGTTTTCTACTTACCTTTAACATGACCCGTTTCTCTAAATTTTTTCTCAATTTTGCTTATAGTGGATTGTGAAATTGGTTCTCGACGGGGGTATTTATTATTAAATAACGCACATCTTTCTGCGTACATGTTTTATCTCCATAACCAATCACTATGAGAATTTCAATTCTTTGCGTTTCAGTTAGCTTCATGTTCAAAGATACAAAGACTTTTTGAATACGTTTACTACAATAATACTATTAATCACTTGACAGAAAGATAATTATGTTTGAATGTCCAACTATCAATGTTCATATTGATAAGGTAACTAGTTTTTTTAAAAAGGTAAAAAGTAGATAAAAAAGACATTTCATTACCAGTGATGGCATTTATAAAATTTATTTTTGGGTGTCAATAATCATATCAATACTTAAAAAATATTTATTGTAATAATAAATATTTAATAATTTTTAATAAATATTTATTGTAATAATAAATATTTAATAATTTTTTTAAACAATTACAAACATCAAATACTCAGACATATTGATATAGCTGAATAGGTATTTAAAAGACCTTTTAAATGATGTATTACGATACCCCCCTTTCTATTAAAAATTTTAGCAATGACGTCATCACGCTCACATAGATGACGTCAAAAATAAAAATATATTCTTACGAATAGCTTATTTAAAAATAAAAATCGACGGGTTTCAGGATTTTTCCGGTCTCCGGTTTACGAAATAACGAATTTATTCCTTTCATTTCCACCATACTGTATAAGTTTACATTACAGATCTGCTGTATATATTAAGTATACTACAGGGCTTAGTATAATTCCTTATGGTAACCCAATATTATTCGTTTTAGTGCCCGATATTTCATCATTTATATTTATGGACACTGTTCTATCGGAATAAATCTGATATGTGATGTCAAAGCTTAAGAGATTCCCATTTTTTCCATTTTTCATATTGAATGTCTAATGTTACATTAACATATGCTGCATCTATAGCTACAAAAAATGCTGGAAGTGATTTGTTGTTAGTAAAAGCAATATTTGTAACACTTACTAGGTTACTTACATTTTCAATGGTTGAAGCCAAACTGCAATTTTTTTATTGTTTTCGAGCCAATGAACAAGTCTGACTTTGATCATTTTCTCTAAAGTTTTTGAGGCGCAAGAAGCTAAAGATATTGCTCTATATGAATCTGGATCTTCTGCATCTCGATTTGGCTTTAGATGTAGGTTTGCTGGATATTCATTCCAGCTCGTTGGAAATTCCGCCCGATTCCATGTTGTATTTATCATGTTTCGAAAAATTTCAATACTTAATTCTCACAAACTAGATAACATTTTATAATAAATGTTATCAACTTCAAGTGCTGTATTATTGTTAGTTTTGAGGCTTTGTATGAAGCAATTTTAATGAAGAACGTTTCTCCCACTCATTTACCTAAATCCTATTGTTTTGAGGATTCAATGTATTTTTTATTTTCTTCATATATTTTCATATATCTTTTATAGGTGTCTTTGTGTTAAGATCGTTATAAAAATTTTGGCAAGATTCTTTTTTGCTTGTGTGATTTGTTTTGTATAATATCCAGCTTACG